TCTTGCGCAGAGGTGGGTGGCATTCCTGTTCCTGTCCAGAGCTTGAATCAGCACTGAATCAGGTATCCTGTGCTGAAACGGGATATCCAATCTCCCCCAGTTACTTGTGCCGAACCAGTGAGTATTGCCCGTAATGTGATTGCATCCCTGGTTCCCGATGATGCCTTAGTCTGGTTCATGGGCTCACGTAATACTTTTGAGCGTCACAAAGTATCATCCCGATTTCATGTCGAGTTGTATACCTGTGTATCAGGTCTGGTTGGAAAGGTCACCATGTGGTTTGAAAGCTTGGTTAGATGTGGTCGTCATGAGGTCAGACGGTTTGCCGTGCACCATCTGCTAACTTCAACGTGTGCCGGCCGCGCCACCTCAGGTTCGGGAGAAGCGCCGGCAGCTGTCGGACGGCGAATACTACCTGATGGTGGCCGGCGCCAACATCTCCATCTACTGCCACGGCATGAACGGCTCGCAGCCGCCGGTCGAGTACCTCACCCTGCCGTCCAAGCCCAACGACTTCTACTCAAACTTCGCCGAGATCGACGAGAAACGGTGGGCACCTGGTGGCGGCACTGGTGGGGCCGGAGCAGCGCCCCATAGAGAATGATCTCAAGCGGAACTCTTTCCTGCAGCGGAGAGAGCTGTGAATTCATTGCTGCAGCTGTCATACGTTATTCTGTTCCGAATGTCCCGTATTGACGTCTTGAATGTTCTAAATTCATGGCGCATTGTCTGTTCCTATCGATGCATCAGCTTCGGCGGCTAGGCACGCGCCGCATAATGTTGTAGAAAATCGTATCTGCGCAATCTTTGCTTCCTCAGCGCAGTTCAGTGCTTATACAACCATGCTTATTTAGATGCTCGATCTGCAAAAAAAAACGTCAGGTTCTTATGCAGATCGACTTGATCTTATCACGTCAGGTGGTCCTATAAAACACAAATCACGTCAGGTCGTCCAAGAAGACGTGATGACGTGATGTGATCACGTCAGGTCGCCCTACAAAACAGCCTCTGAACTGGTTTTCCGTTTCGTCTGATCGTCTGTCTGCAGCAAAAGAAATGACCCGCTGTGTATGTGCTCGCTGTCCCCAGCCTGCTGAACCCGGAGACGTGTCCCTACAACGGCAGCCGCGTGAGCAGCGCCCGCTGCCGCAAGTGTGTCCAGTCTCGTAGCCCGCACGCCGGCCTGACCGTGTTCACCAGGGTCCGGCTCAACATCACCTCCCTCAACATCATCCGTGAGCACGGGCCGCGGCCGGCACCACGAATGGCACGAACGTGGCGCGTGTAGGTCGCCGTAGCGGTGCCGCCCTTTGCAACGCTGGGAATCTGAGGCGCCTTGGACGAGCCAAGGAACTCTGTGCCGTGCCTCCATGCTTATTTCACATCGCTCAGTCGTGCGCCATTTTTCTTTTTCTGCATTGTGGCGTTACATACACGAATTCCAGAGCTCAAACTCTAGCTCGCGCCTATTGCTTTCAAACAAGCTTTTTAGTTGGTGGCTCCGTCACTGCGCTCTGTCACGCTCCCCGGCAGCACCGGCAACATTAAACTCAATTGGCTTTGCGCAGTCCGTCAGAGCCCTGTTTACATTATGCTGTGTTCGTGCCCCCCCCCCCCCCCCCCCTAGGCCCCCTTCTACTGAGACCATCACGTCTTCCGGCAGCGCGCGACTTTTCGTTCGCGCAGCAGCGGCGCGGACGACCAGTGCACTTCGGTGAGGCCGGCGACTGCTACTCGTCGTCCGGCTGTCCGCAAGGCAGGTTCGGCATCAACCTGAGCGGCACGGGCCTGCGCGTGGCCTCCACCACAAACTGGGTCGGTGTCGGCAACAAGCCCACCGTTCGCATCACCAAGAATAGGGTGAGCTGTGCGCGAGCGCGAGCGCGGGCGGGGCGGCGTGGTGCAGCGCGGTGTGGTCAGGAGAGGGACCGCTAGGTCTTACGCGCCGGTGTAAACTTCCGGTACCGGGTGCTCAGCCCATGAAGTAAAATGTCCGCCGAGTCGTTGAGCAATGCGTGATTAGTTGCAGGATAGCGTTCTGTCACGGTGGGTCACGATAGGTCAGTGACAAGCAAACGCGTGGTCAAGGTGAGTACTCCCATGTTCTTGATAAGTATGGACAACTAACCAACACCTGCGTTAAGGTAGGTCCAAGGACTCCGATAAAGGGCATGTCTTCTTGTCTTCAGCACCAGCCTACTATGCTTACCGTGAGACCTTTTGCAGTCGCAGTATTCCACGTGACCGCTTATTTAGAGCCGCCCGGCCTGACCGCGGCTGCGCGTCCCTCTGACCTCAGCGCGGTGCCTGCTGACCTCGCAGGACCGGACAGTGGTGAAGGGCACGTGTGGGCGGCTACTGCGGCACGTGGCCGCGCCGATTCGCCCTGGCGGCATAAAACTAGACGTCGCGCCCCCCTGACCTCCAGGTGAGCCCGTGCACAAGCGCGTCCCAGCTTCCACGTGTCGGCCCTGGCAATGCCCCGGTACGGGCTGGTCTCGCTGATTTCGCCCTGTCACCCCAGAGTCTTAAGTCTTGTGTTCCCGGCAGGCTTTCACCTGGGCCGATCGGACGACGGCGCCGGAACACTCAGTGCTCCTTTTGATGGCATGATAGGGCTCAGGTCACGTGAAAACAAAATATTGTCAGCAAAGAAAAGTTTCACAGTGCACTTTCCATGATGAGTTCATGGTAGTCACATTGAAAATGCTTTGTTTGCGATGGAAGCGCTCTGCTTGCGAATAAAGCTGTTGGAACCGTACCCATATCCGTGGTGTGGCTCGCAATGACCCCCCCCCCCCCCCCATCCCTCCCCAGGGCTGTAGCGGCAATTACCGGTCTTTCATCTGTACATACCTCGCGCACATCTCACCGTTAGAGGAGCGCCTAGTCCACGCGCCGACGACGGCGGCCCACGCCGCGGCCGGCAGCTACCCACCCCTCGCCGGCGGGCCGCCGAGACTGAGAGAGGCGGGGCGCGCCGCGCCGCACTGCCCCGCCGTCCCGCCTCCCGGGTGCTGCGGCGCCTCCGGCGTGGTGGCGCCCTTCGGTGTGGCGGCGCCCCCGTGTGGCGGTGCCCTCGGTTGTGGCGGCGCCCCGGTGTGGCGGCGCCCTCGGTGTGGCGGCGCCTCCTCATGTGGCGGCCGCCCCTAGGTGTTGGCGGCGGCTCCCGGTGTGGCGGCGCCCCGGTGCTACGGCGAGGAGAAGCTGCGCCGCGTGCCGACGGACCGGTGCGCCGGCGCGGACCCAGCCCACGACCAGCCGCCTCCGCGCGCTCGAATCTCATTGTGACGTCGTATCACTGCCAGTGGAGCTAGTCAGCGCAGATGGCGCTGCGGCGACGGGTGGCGGTGCGGCAGTACTCGAGTGGCCCGCGGCGCGGCGGCGGAGGTGACGGGCGCGCCCCGCTGCCCGCTGACGGCCAGCTGGTGGATCGGTGTCGTGTCATGTACCATCACATTCTCTAACTTATCTCGGCTTCGCCATGCGCTTTGTCCATAACGCTGCATAGGCCGTCAGCTGCCGCGCCACGCTGGTGCTGAAACCGCCGCTTTTGGCGACGTCGGCCGCGCGTGCGGCGCGCATTTCGGGCCGGCGGTCGGCGCTCCGCGTCTGCGAGACGCCGGCCCCGCCTGTGCCGCGCCCGCTGCCCGCGCCAGGTCTTCTGCGTGCCCGCGCGCCGAACCGATAACTGCCATACGACTGTGCTGTGGACCATGCCGCTGTGGCCGGCTGTACTCCCGCCCTGCTTCAGTACGGGAGGGGACTCGCGCTGCCGCCTCTACTGAGGCCAGACGCAGTAATATATGTAAGGTGTCTGCATGGTACGTTCGACTGAGAGGAAGTGCGAGATGGAAAGGATCGGAATAGGAGACGCGCATCACGGCCCTTCTGGCGAAGGTTTCTGGTATTGTTCGAAATCTGCCATCAAAACTAGCGGCCCAGAGCCCTTCGACGATGCAAACATCTAGCAAACATCCTTGCTCCAAACGTCAACCTGTTGGCGATTTCTGGAGGGCCTGGAGGTGGTCCGGATACGCAGAATCTCCAGCCCGGGTTCCCGAGCAGCTTGCGCGCAGGGTGTAAATGTGAACTCCACTGACCTGGCTCGATCTAAAGGCATAGAAAGCGATCGGTAACTAATTCAAAACGCGCTCTGGGTCTATTGTCACCATGTTTTACAGATGCACAGTAGTTCCCAAAGCCCAGGCGATCACACTGGTCCCGTCGCGGCCAAAGCGGCGCACGTCTGGTCCGGGCGCAGTACATCGCGCCTCCCCGTCAGTCACACAGCCCAAAAGTGACGCAGGCGCAGCTACCGGTCACTTGCCTTCAGTTCGAAATGGGCGTCGACGCGCCAGCTACGTGCTTGAACCAGCCCCGCCCGCTGACAACGCGATGTCCCAATGCTCTGGGGGCAAGCCCGACGCCATTCGGAGAGAATGCTACCTTGAACCTGGCCAGGGACGACGCACGGCCTGACCTGCCGCGCGTGCCGCACGTGACGACCCTGGCCAGGTTGACATCACAGGTGCACAATCAACGTGTATTTTGGCATATCCAGGTAATCTCTCCCCAGGGAGCGGTGCGACTCGGACGGCGCGCGGCGGGCCCGCCGCCCGCCACTGTCCGCTCACACTCGCACACACGCCAATACTGAATGCCCTGCTGGGCGACGCTCGTGACCAGAGCTGATATGGCAGCCCGGGCCCGCACCACACCGGCGCGGCGCGCGTCCCTGTCCTGCGTCCACGCGCGCTCGCGGCCACTACACAAGCCCTGCCGACGGCGGCGGCGGCCGGCACAAACGACGAAAAGCGGTAACCAAGGTCGGGTTGGACTCGCACTACAGGAATGATATCGGCGGCGCGGCTGGCCGCGCGCGCCGGCGCCTCGCGCGGCGGAGATTTCTCTAGAGGAGGGGGGCGGCGCTGTAAGCTCGGCGGGCGCATATCACAGGGCGGCGCGGCGCGGCGACCGCCCGCCGGCCGGCCGCGCCGCTAGGGCGGCACGTACGGCGGCGGCTGCCGGTAGTTGGGCACGGGCTTGGCGCGGCCCGCCGCGACCAGCCTCGGCCCCGGCCAGCGGGGGGCGGCCGTTCGTACGGCGTGTCCTCGCCGCCGCCGCCGGCTGCCTCGCCGTGCTCGTCCAGCATCGGCGTGGCCGGCGACGGCGCGCCATCGGCCGGGTAGGTGGGCGGTTCGGGCGGCCGCTCGTGCGTCAGGATCACGGGCGTCTTGGCACTCTTCTCCATGCGGTCCTCTAACTCGTCGGAGAAGATGACGGGGATGCCGCGGCTGACGTACGTGCCGTTGTCGGTCATGGTCATCTTGCCGCGCCGGCGCGCGCGGTACAGCACGCACGCCACCAGGCCGGCGATCAGCAGCATAGCGGCGATCACCACGGCCGGGATGATGAACGTCACCAGGTACTCGTCGCCCTTGCTCTCGGGCGCCTGCTCGTCCAGCGGGCCTGGCGCGGCCGCGGGCGGCGCCGCCGCCGTGGTCGGCGTGCGCCGCGCCAGGCAGATGCCGCGCGGCGTCACCTCGGCCGCCGTCAGCCGGAAGTCGGGCCCGAGCGCCTGCACGGCGCGTGGCGTCACCTGCTGCGCGTCGTCCAGCAGCGCCTCGCGCAGCGCGTGGATTGTCGGCGTCGGCGCACTCGTTCCGTCGGCAGCGATTCGTTGAACCAGGAGAAGACGACAGAGCCCTCGCGGATGTCGTGCACCAGCATGGCGTCTGTGTCGCCGTCGCCGAGAAGCTCGGCCAGCTTCTCCATGAGCCGCTTCTTCTGCATGGGGTCGCGGCTGAACTTGCGGAAGTCGTTGTCGAGCGTGACGCCGAACTCGACCGTGTGCTGTTTGGCGTCGTCGCGCGGCTGCACCACCACCTCGATCGAGTCGGACACCGTGAGGCCGCCGCTGTCGATGCACTCCTGCCAGACGGGAGCAGCGTCATACAGAGCCCATGTGCAGCAGCGGCGCCCGCACAGACACAGCACGAGCATCGGACGGCAGCCAGACCGAAACACAGCGTACGGTACGACACTGGCAGCGACCCACGTCATCGTCGTCACCAGCTTGACCGGTGCCGTGCTGTGACCTCCTGCCGCGGTACGTTTGGGGCTAGCGTATCTAACGGAATTCGAGCATGACAATACAATTCGGACGCCAAAGACACCACGCAGGCGACACGACCACTAGCAGTATTACAGCCAGCACAACACCTCGAGCAATCTCCGCCGCCATGCCACCTACGAGTTTCCGCCCCTGCTCGGTGACCACCGCACTGCGTCGGCGAGCAGGGTGGTAGTGTGAGCCTCACCAGGTGGTAGTGCGAGCGTCCCACGTCCTTGTCCAGGGGCCAGGCCGATGAACTCCTGGTTCTTGGGCTCGAAGCGGAGCCAGCTCTCGCGCGGTACCCAGCTGACGCTCGCTGGTCAGCAGGCGCAGCTCCATCTCGCGCGCGTTGCCGTCCTCCATGTCGAAAAACGCGTCCGCCGGCACCTGCGGGGAGAGCGGGCCGGTCACGGCCGCCGTCTCCGGTTACTGGGCGGAGCATGCGCAGCTCATCCCACAGCAACAGAGGCGGCAGCTGTCGCACCGAACGAGGCGTGCGACTGAGATGGAGACGGTGCGATCGCCAGTCGCCGGCGCATCGGTCGAGAGCGGGGGCGACGCCACCAGCCCACGCCTGGTGGCGTCCTTCCCACGGCCCACGGACTCGGCCGCAGCCGTCTGAAGTGGTCACCAGTTACACCACGAGATGCTGCTGGCAGGCCGGGGACTCAGGACCGCCATTGGAGCGAACGCGGCGCACCCCGGTCTGCACTTCAACAACCCGGCAAGACGGCCACCGGCCAGTCTGAAGACCTGCTGCGCGCCCGTCCGGCAGTCGGAGAACCCTGCTTCCGAGCACTCGCCTGCTGTTTGAGCAGCCTGCCGACGCTGGCCGTGATCCGGTCACGGGTTGGCGCCGGATGGGCGGCACGTTTCTGGTCCGGCTCCTCGGTGGCCGGGGTGGGCACCGACGTCAGCAGCACGCCGTGGCACACGTTCAGCAGCTCCAGCCGCACGCGCTGCGCGCCGAACTCGGGCGCCAGCACCTTGCGCAGCTCGGCTGTCGGCTCGCCGTTCTTGCCCACCAGGTGCTGCGGAGCACGGCAGGCTGGTGACCGGGGAGCGGGCGCGGTGTGACGAACATACCGACGGGAACACGCGGCAGGGTGCTGAGGAAGACGTCACTGGGACATGGCGTGTCGACGAGACAGACGAGCCTCAACCTGTGAGCCGTGCTGAGGGTTGGTGTCAGGGTTAAGGTGTCGCTCTCGTCATGAACAGCACGCGCTCGAGACACAGCACCGTGCCGGTTTGGATCAAATCCGACGTCCTTCACGTCGTCCGGTTATCGCCAGTCAGCCATGTCGCGGGGCCTCACCGCTGTTTAACATCACGCCTGCCTCCCGGTTAAGAGAACCAGGAAGCCATCTTCACATTTGGAACAGCTGACTGGTCGGGCCGAGTCAGGCCAGAAACAAGCCCTCATCTGTCCAAACGCTGGGCACGACGCCGCCTCCCTCAAACACTCGAAATCACACTTCCTAAACATACAATAGAAGACTATGCGAACCAGCGGCTACAGACGAAACCATAACACGGCAGCGGGCCGCACCGGCTGTCTAGCATAACGTAAGCAGACGCGCCCCCCAGCCGTCACGCGGAACACATGCCGTTGGAGCGGACGGGATGGCATTCGTCGCGGGACCGCTCGGGAACCAGACCGCTGCAAATCCGCTGTATCCGAGCCACAGCCGTGAACGTTTGCCGAATCGACGCTCAGATTGGGGACCACACATGCGATTGGGTCAGGGCGATAAATATTTAACGGAGTCCGTCGCCACCGGCCGTCCCGATCCTCGATCAGAGGTCAGCTGGCCGCCGCCATGTTTATTAGGCTGTAGCGACACGGCAAACCAGGACGGCGCACTATGAGCGGCCGGCCGCCGAGGGACGGGGCCGCCTCCAGCCTGGTAACGGACTGGGGGGAGGCCCGGACAGGGTGCGCGTCCAGCCGTTGGCGGACCGGTGTGGAACAGCGTGCGCAGACGGGTGGGGAAAGGGAGGCGGGGGAGGGGCAAACTATGCAGGGGGGGACTGCGCAATACAGGCACGAATAAAACGCAATGTAAGACTGACGAGACGAAGACTCAAAACAAGGCAAGGAAGATGCCGGCCCACGCACAGCCAGCGCGCGTGAGGGACAACCGGACGTACCGATGCGATGCGCGAGAGGGCGAGCTGGTCGCAGCGGTGCGTGCTGATGGTGTCGTTGACCCAGGCGATGCGGACGGAGCCGCCGAGCATGGCACGCACGTCGTACACCAGCAGGCTGGAGGTGGAGGTCTGGCCGAACATGTCTGCCAGCTTGCGCAGCAGCAGGAGCTCCCCAGTCCACCTGCGCGGGCCGACGACACACGGGTGCGGCGGTGACGCACGGTACCATCCGACCGCTGCGTGTGCGGCTGTGTACCACGCGGACGGGCGAGCAGCTCGGCGATATTTTACACTTTGAAAATAGAGCGCAAGCCATAGGAAAACTGAACGGGACCCTTAAACTGACAACGCCTTCGATAACGCGAACGCGTGCTTTAGCAATGCCATACGACGTGGCCACTCAAGTTCCAACACGCGCACTTCACTAAGTTCTTCACTACTTTGAATACAACAAAACGTGACGTCCCACACAAAACCTACTGAAATCAGCCAGTTATCACTGGCAACGCGAATGCAGCATCAGCAAAGACCATCACACTCAGGCATCGACCCGTGACACGCGGTCAGTCTCCGGCGCGCGCCGCCGTCTCCGCCGCTGACCGTGACGGGGAAGTCGCGCGGACGCAGCATCTTGAGTTGCAGTGTGGAAGCGGTGGTTGATGGCGCGCCACTGCTGGTAGAGCCGCACGGCCACAGCCAGCTGGTCGGACGCCGAGGCGCCCTCCGCATCCATCGCGGTCAAGCTCGAACTGGTACTCGCCGATGTGCTCCTCTTTGGGCCTGTCGACGAGGGGGAGCGGCGTCGGGGGCGCGCGCGGACACGGCTCGCCGCTGCGGGACCGGCCGCACAGGGGTTACTCACGCAAGCCGCGTCTGAAAGAGACGTCCCCCACCTACGCTCCGGAGCCGAATCTGAGCTTGAGTCGGATCTGCGCTCCCCTTGCCGATCCCACACATAGCGAGACATTCCCACGGGGTGACGTGGCAGGCGCTCTGGGCTGCGCTGACCCCCCCCCCCCCCCCCTTCCTTCCCCCTCCCTCCCTCCCCGCAGTCAGACTGAGAAGCTCTCGCAGGCCGCAGCCCACGCCCACAACCGCGCCCGCTCGCTCCACTCACAGGCCGTAGATCTCCTTGCTTCGCGGCAGTCGAACTGGATCCAGTCCGAGTCGTCCAACTCCTGGCCACTGGTCTTCTTCAGCGAGAGGTGCAGCTGGCGCGTGCCGCCCGACTCCAGGTCCTGGAACGTCTCCTCGGGTACGCGCAGGGCCGGAACTCCTTGCCGGCCACCAGCAGCAGCTTGCGCATGCGCCGCTGCAGGAGCGGCCTGAAGTTGCGCGCGCCCACGGAGAATCGTCTCTCTTCGCCGGGTGGCAGCGGCAACGGACGGCGTCACCAGCACACCGCCCGGCAGCCGGGCCGTCGCCTGGCGGCCGCTGCAAGCGTCAGCCGCTCAAGCGGCGAGAAGGCTTCATAGCGGCTAGGAGGCGAACATGAGCTACAACACGCGCGGGCACACAACAGTGGAGAACGCGGCTCTCTGGGGACATGGCGGCGGAGGACATGAACGGATGGGCGCCCGCAGATGTGAGAATGCATCGATGGGTAGATGAGCGTGCTTACAGAAACACCTCGAGTCATCACGATCATACCGATTCCCTATCACCATGATTGGTTACAATAGATCGCGATGTCGGTGACGACCTCTCAACCCAAGACGTCACAGCCTTGTCACCGGCCGGCGCGTTGGCCTCAGCCATGTATGCAGCCATGTTGGCCTCAGCCATGTTGGCCGATCTGGCGCTCTCCCTGGCGCTCGGCAGTCAGAGGCCCGCCCGCCGCCGCCAGCCCCGCCCACAGCCGGCTGGCCGCCAGTGACGGTGGTCGTGGCGAGCCAGCCGGCGCCGCCGCCAGCGCTGGACCTCACCTCGACACGTCCGCCGGGGGCGTTCATGGACGACTCGAGCCCGCTGGTCTCGCGCGCCGGCGGCCACAGCGGCCCGTCGTCCGTGCGGCTGGGCTGCAGCGAGTCCGGATAGTACCGCGTCGGCACCGCTGCCACCTGCCGGGCCCGCCACACGGCTGCAGTCAGAGCGACGCGCGCCACACGGCTGCAGTCAGGGCGACCCGCGCCACACAAGCGGCTGCATTCAGGCGACGCCGCGCCACACGGCTGCAGTCATAGCTACGCCTCGCCACACGGCCGCAGTTCAAAGCGACGCCGCGCCACACGGCTGCAGTCATAGCGACGCCGCGCCACACGGCTCAGTCATCTACGGCCTGCTCCACACTGCTAGCAGTGGCGACCTCGCCGCGCCACACGCTGCAGCCAGAGGCCCCGCGCCACACGCTGCAGTCAAGCGACCTGCGCCACACGGCTGCAGTCAAGCGACCCGCGCCACACGGCTGCAGTCAAGCGACGTGCCTCGCCACACGGCTCAGTCAAGGACCCGCGCCACACCGCTGCAGGCAGCAGCCGGAGCCTCCGCCACACGGCTGCACCATAGGGACCCGCGCCACACTGGCTGCAGTCAGACGACGCCGCGCCACACGGCTGCAGTCAGAGCACGCTGCGGCCACACGGCCGCGGTCACAGCGACCGGCGCCACACACGACAGGAGCGGCGGCGCCACGCTCACACAGTCGCCGATAGACGCGCTGTGCTCACAACCGCCCGGACACGGCGACGTACCGGGATCGGAGTGCTGACGGACCGCGGCCAGACGGCGGAGGCCGGACGCGCGGCGGCGGGTAGGCGGGCGACGCCGGCGGCCCGGAGAACGTCGGCGACGCCAGCGGCGGCACCACGTGGTCCCGGGTCGCCGTAGTCGTAGTTGTCCGTCGTAGTTGTAGTCATAATCGTCATCGCCGAAGTCTCCAGAGCCGTCCACCTGTTTGGCAGGTGTAAGTCTGGAGACTTCGGACGGCTCGCAGCACGGCGGCCGCAGCGAGGGGGGGGGTGCACACGAGCCAGAGTCCCGCAACACAGCGAACTACATACAGCGAGAGCGGTTAACCGCTTGTTGGCCGATCGGCCACAGGGTCCCGAGACCACACACCGCTGCGTGATGCGGACACACGAGGAAACAAACAATACCGCACACCATCAGCATAGAACCGAAGATTGCCGGCTGCCGGCGATCGTCGATGGAGCCTCACCTGTCTCGGTGGAGGGGGAGCCTCACCTGTCTGCGGTGGAGGCCGGAGCCTCACCTGTCTGCGGTGGAGGCCGGAGGCCCACCTGTCTGCGGTGGAGGCCGGAGCCTCACCTGTCTGCGTGGAGGCCGAAGCCTCACCTGTCTGCGGTGGAGCCGAGTCACCTGTCTGCGGTGGAGGCCGGAGCCCCACCTGTCTGCGGTGGAGCCGGAGCCTCACCTGTCTGCGGTGGAGGCGGAGCCTCACCTGTCTGCGGTGGGCCGTCGGCCTCACCTGTCTGCGGTGGAGGCCGGAGCCTCCCTTCAGCGGTGGAGGCGGAGCCTCACCTGTCTGCGGTGGAGGCCGAGCCTCACCTGTATGCGGTGGAGGCCGGAGCCTCACCTGCTGTACTGGCGGCCGAGCCCTCACCTGTCTGCGGTGGCGGCCGGTCGCGCCGGGCGTACATCAGCCAGCCGACGGCCGGTCGTCGGCGGCCGCTGCCAGCCGCTCCATGCGCAGGTCTGCCTGCACTGCCTGCACGGAGCGCCGCCGGTTCGGGTGCACCTGCTCCGAGCAGCCCACCTGTCGGGACGGGCGGAGGTGAGAGGGCGCGGGCGGGCCGGTGCCGCAGCGGGAGAACCGGCTCCGGCCGTCTGACTGGTTTATCATGTCCCAGTGGGCTTCGGTGGGATAAGCTAGGCAGCTACCTGGACAGCTCTGGAGCACTTACTCCTGCGCGAAAACCTGAGCACTATGTCCTGGCAGCGAAACCTTCGTGCCGGAGGGTTGCAAACATCATTGCCGGGGTATGTATGGCAAACAAGTGTCAATATAGAATGTGGCATAACGTATGCGCAACAGAACAATAACAATCAAAAAACTAAAAGCCTACGCAGGGCGACGAGATGGGAATTAGAGAAAACACCGAAGATATGCAGCATTGCCGTATAGCCTCCCCATAAAATGACCTCTGCAGCCGAAAGCGCCCGGAAAATACGCCAACAAAGCTTGTCCAGTTACCTTCCACGAGAAGACGGTGAGCTGGCGGGACTGTCTGGTGTGGCTGCCAGCGCCCGCTTCCAGCACGCTCTCATCCTCCAGAGGCATGGCACCGCTGTGCGACGTTACGTGGCATCACCTCCGGCTCCACGTGCACGGCCGCTGTCGAACGCGTCAGCCATGACGTCACAAGGCATGTCAGCAGGGTGGCGAGCCGAGCCGATCCGGCAGGTGTGCAGTGACTGTGCGCTCGGTGCGGCGCCAGAAATAGCGCGCGCTTATGACCGTCATTGGCGTCTTCATCCCCATCTGAGGCATGAGGGTCCCCATCTGAGGCTCCTGCCCAATGTGACATCAGCCCTCGGCCCGCAGTCTCGGCTGCGGTGTCGCTCACCGGCCAGTGCCCGCAGCATGCGCAGGCGCGCAGCGCCATCCAGCGTCTGCGGCGCGACGTCGAAGTACAGAGCGACGACGGTGGAGGCGCTGCCATCGGCGCAGCTCAGCTCGCCGCTGTCCTCGTCCCAGTCCAGCGGCGCGCCGGCGTGCCCCGAGTCTGCAGCAGACGCGTGGCAGGTCAGCCTCGGCCGAACGCGCCACACCACTCTAAAACGGATCCAGCAGCGCGCGTGCACGCACGCACGCACAGCATCCCAGCCCTCGCATCCCTGAATCCCTCGCACAAACGGAACATCCGGCCATGGATCAAAACACATTCGAACGTTAGCCCAAAAAATACTGCGTGCAGCCACCCACCCGTAAGTTCTGTATCAGCTGCAGCAATCGTCCAACGCATACCAGACTGCAACTTGCATTTGACACCGACCGACCCTACCCCGCGGCCGCCGGTGCCAGGCACCACAAAGGTTTGACGAGCAAAGTGAGTGGAGGTGGGTGGGAGCGGGGGGGGGGGGCTGTCAGCTCGGGTGCGAGTCACCGCAGTTCAATGAGTCACCCAATGTGGACGAACCACACAGCCGACCGTGTGCTGCGTCGGGTTCGCAGCAAACACGACGTCACCTACCCAAACCCTGGTATCATCGCAGCGGGGCCCCGTCGCGGCACTTCCGCAAGCGCGGCCGCGCCAATCCCGCCCAGGTGCGGCGGGTTTGCCCCGGCAACGTCAGCCGACCACCGGCGGCCGGGTGCCCGCTGGCGCCGGGCCCACTGGCACACGGCGGACGGGCCGGGGCCGGGCCGGGCGGCCACCGCATCCACTCACCGCTCTCGAGCACCACGTCGACCATGAAGCGGTCCTTGCGCGGCTGTGCGGGCGGCGGCCGCGTGCCGTCACGGTCACCAGGTGCGGCCCCAGCTCGGCCGGCAGCGGCACGCCGGTGAAGGCGCGCGCGCCGGCGTCGAACGTCAGCCATCCGGGCAGCGGCGCGTCGGCCGTGGCGCCGCCCACCTGAAAACGGGCGGCAGACGGCCGTCAGACGGCGCACACGTGCGGGGCGTCCGCCGACCGACCGCCGACGGAGCACCGACAGGCATCGGGCGTGATCAGGCGGCGGCCCTCGGCATATACGTGTAAACACTCGTCGCCCCAGCCAGTGTGGCGGGCGCGAGACAGCGACACAACACAAACAATCGGAACACTTGCTACAGCACGGGACGGCATGCGCACTTGCTCCGCCGACAACAACCGTCTACGCGGAGGCACGCCGAGCGACCGAGCAACTGCACCAACATGGCGCGAACGGCACACGCGCACACGTGTCCCCCGCAGCGGTGCGTCGTGTGAAAACAGCCACCACGCCCCGACACCTGGCACAGCATCGGCCTGCCCGCGCGCGCCGCCGGCGATCCGGCCGGCGCGCGCGGGCGAGCGTGCTGCCGCCCCCGTGACGGTCCCCAGCCGAGGCCGGCGCATCTGTGGCTGGCGGGTAACAAGGCAGCGCGGGGTCGGAGCGGGGCCAATCGGCCGCCGACAGACGGATCGATTACAGCGGCTCGGCGGCGGCGTCGCGGCCGCCAGCGTTCACCACAGAGGCGAGGATGCCCCGCCGCCACCACCCCGCCCGCCACAGCCGCTGCAGAGGGAAGGCCGGGTCGAGCGACAGGGCGGAATGCGGCGCCGTGCGGTCTGGGAAGCGCGGCCGGCCGGCGGATATTATACAACTGCCGAACGCTGAAGGCTCGCCATCCACCGTGCTTGCGGACAAACCGGCGGCGTCGCCCCACACCCGCGAACACCAGTGTGGTCTTGAGGGGGGGGGGGGGGGCAGAAGGTCCGTCTCGGAGTCGTACGACTTCATCGTCCGCTGACACGGTCGGTGACTGCCCCATCCGACGTGCCGACGGGTTACTGCCCCGCCCAACCCGGCCGCGGTCGTCTGCCAGCTCACTTCGTCATCGCAGCGACCCCCGGCGAGCGTGCTGCCGGGCAGTGAGCGAGGTCGGCGGCATCAGAGGCCGCCGTCCGCCCGCGGCGTCTGAGCGGCGCCAGCTCCACCGGTCACTCACAGCCCGTCGGCGGGCCGTCGCCACGCCCGGCACCGGTCGGCACTCACATCGCACCCCCCTTCCGTGCGGTCCCCGGGCGTCTCAGCCATCGCATTGAGCCGTCTATCACAGCTCGGTGACACAGACAGAGACACAGGCGGCGGGGCCAACACTCCCAACCGCGTGCATCCCACCGTGCGTCCACAGCGTGACCCCAGCCGGGCGCCATTTGAGGCAGCCGTCGTCACCGGACCGGTATCCGCGCCGCGCCCAGCACCACCCCCGCCGCACGTCAGCAGCTACGTCACGGGGCACGTCCTCTTGAGCCGCCCTGAGCCGGCCGGCCGGCGAGGTCGGTCCTGTGGCGGAGCGGCGGGTGCGCGCGAGCCGGCCGCCGGCAGGCGCCCACCGCCGCCGGCCGCGGCCGACACCGACGCGTGCTCGGCCACGCGATACCGCCCCGAGGTCGTGCAGACCGACCGGTGCGGTGGCTGCGTCCTGCGGGGAGCAGGCGCCCAGCTGAGTCGTGGAACCGACACGCGCCGGACGGTTTCACCGCGGCGGGCATTAATCCTGCGAGCGACGGCGAATGGGGCGTCTAAATAGAGCGGGCGGCGCCGTAAAGCACCGGGCGACGCGTCGCGTGGGAGTCGCCAGGCGGCCCCGGCTGGGAACGAAAAGCGGTGGCCATGACTGGCGGCACGGACGCGTCGCCGTTCCCGGTGCGGAAGAGCCGCGGCCACGACGACGACGGCGGCGGCGGTGACACGACAGAGTGGAGCAACGCGTCACAACGGAGCACTTTTCCGCTCTGGCGCCAGGCTTCGTGGAAAGCAGGGGCTCTAAGACTGCTCGCCCTGCAGCGGCGGCTAACCGATCCGTTATGTCGGATCGGTTAGAAACACATCGCGGGGATTTATGCGATGGCCTGGCTTCGGATGATCGAGCAGTTAGCGGGCTCGTAGGCGCACAGGCCCCATAAACGGGAGCTTTCATCAAGTTGTCATCTCCGCCGACGTTACCAGAAGGCCGTGGCGTCCGCCGCCGCCAGCCCGCCAGACGCAACTCGTAAGGCCAGGGGTGACCTTGGTGCGGAAGCAGGGTGAACACAGCCCGCCCTCCTCCGGACATGCGCACTGACCGTGCCAACGCCAAGGGTGCTCAGGATCGGCCCGCGGCGCCGGGCTACGCCGCCGGCCGGTCCTGCGGTCGCCAGTCGGGAGGCGGCGGCTCCCCAAGATGCTAGTAACCGGATTAATGCCACCACTAGATGTCAGTTGCTGAGATGTGTGCTGGTCCAGCTACCGGCTCACAAAATTCCGTTATGGACGTTGGTCCGTGCGACGCCGACGAGCGGCGCACTTCACCGTTCACTAACGATTGTTAACTAATCTGCAATTAATCCCGTGCTAACGCAGCAACTGCAACGGCCATTGGCGTAATCTCCCGTGATTCAGTTATGGCTGATCGACGATGTGTTAATAGTGGTACATGCGGTGACTTCAGTGCAATGGCCGATTAGTCAGACCTATTTACTGATAGAATAATAAAGTGTCATGATCAAAACAACAACACACCTGATGATGAGAAGAACATTTCGATGCTCCAATACAGTCCACAAAACATCTTCTTCGAAGCCCTATCGAAATCTTCCTGACTCCGTCTGCTTTGGAACAGCACGACACCCCTTTACGGTGAGCGCGTTCCGGAGACAAACGCCCCACTTCCGGCGCTATCAGCTGGGCTGACCCGGCCCTGTGTCCGCTGAGCTGTCGGCGCTGACACACCATCGTCAGCTGCGGCCCCAAGATAGGCCGCTTATCTCCTCGCCACAGCGTCGCTTCCGGACCCCTCTGCAGGTGTGTGTGTGAGGGGGGGGGGAGTGCCGCTTTGATAACGAGCTGGCCGCGTGCACACCTCGCCCGCCGCACGTACCGCCAAGTCGGTCGGCAGCCGTCAAACGCCAGCGGACCGCGACGGGCCGCGGCCGGGTCCGCGTCGATGTCGACGAGCGCGACGACGACGTCACAGTCACGCCGCCTGTCCGCCGGGACCGTCAGAGGTGCCGGCGGAGAGCGCCCAAAGCCGCCCAGTCCGCCCGGCCGCAGCGGAGGAGCTCCGGGCCCCGCAAACACGCCGCTCGCCTCCACCCTCGGCCGCGCAGACTGTCGGCCGCCATCAGTCGACATAGAGCAGCCCTCGCCGCGGTGCAGCGAGCATGTGTCGCCACGGCTCGGCGTCCAGGCCGCTGCCGCTGGCGCGGTGGCCCGCTCTGTCTCACCAGTCGGAAGTCTGAGCACGTGTTGATGCGCACCGCATACAACACATAGCGGGCGTGCGTCTGCCTTGCAACGAGGCCCACTACACTCAACGCTCGACCTGCTCTCCCGATTACCCGCATCAACGAGGGGGCATGTCCGGCCGGCGCGGGTCCGTTCGGCCTCGGCGGCGCGTCTGCACGTGTCACCAAACAGATGGCGGGCGCGTGACGGGCCGCTTTGTCTTCACCGGACCCCGTCGCGCCCCGTGGCCGGATCGGGACCACAACGGGGCGGCCTGCGTATGCACGCCGCAGAGGGCTGGTCGTCACGGCACAAAGGCCGCCGAGGTCATGCCCACGCGGAAGGGCAGAGGGCGGCCAGTGCAGCACGAGAACATGACTCATGACTCATCTCGGGCTCACAGACTGATCGGCGCCTTCTGACAATCCGAAGGTCCAGGGAGAAAACCGCACTTTTGCTGGCACTTGGTACGTCCTCCTGGGTGCCCCGTGGGCAAATCGGGAGGGTTTTTTCCTTGCACGTCTTTTCCATTTCAAGCTGATACAAATATTGAAAATGTGTGCCGCCACAGCAAACTTTAAGAAACGCCACGGAAAAAAATGACGAAGGTTTCCCGGTAGACATGATGGATATCGCCACATATGAAACGCGACACGTTAGCATTTTAGGGCCTGCCAAATTTCCACAGAGGCTTCGCATAATACTGAATTTTCATTCTGCGGGATTTCTTCGGGACGCCAATCATTCCTTTCCTGATTGATTTAATCATTCCTTATTGATTTAATGATCCCTTACTGACTTCTGTTCTCAGCTTTCTGACAAAGACGACGATTATATGCAACTATTGGGCTTAGCCTTTTAAGAAAACCGAGAGCGCTAGACACCTAACACCAAAAAGCAATGCGTGACAAAAGTACAGCCCTGCAGGCCGGCAACACAACTCCGACACGGACATAGTGCTGTGCGCAGAGAGCGAGAGCGAGAGCGAGCAGAGCGAGCGAGAGAGCGAGAGAGCGATAGAGCGAGAGAGCAGAGACGAGAGCGAGCGAGAGCGAGAGCGAGAGCGAGAGCGAGAGCGAGGCGAGAGCAGAGCGAGAGCGAGAGCGAGAGCGAGAGCGAAGAGCGAGAGCGAGAGCGAGAGCGAGAGCGAGAGCGAGAGCGAGAGCGAGAGCGAGAGCGAGAGCGAGAGCGAGAGCGAGAGCGAGAGCGAGAGCGAGAGCGAGAGCGAGAGCGAGAGCGAGAGCGAGAGCGAGAGCGAGAGCGAGAGAGAGAGGAGAGAGAGAGAGAGAGAGAGAGAGAGAGAGAGAAGAGAGAGAGCAGAGAGAAGAGAGGAGAGAGAGAGAGAAGATAGAGAGAGAGAGAGGAGAGAGAGAGAAGAGAGGATAGAGAGAAGAGGAGAGAGAGACGAGAGAGAGAGAGAGAGATATAGAGAGAGAGAGAGAGAGAGAGAAGAGAGAGAGAGAGAGAGAGAGGAGAGGAGAGAGAGAGAGAGAGAGAGAGAGATGCTGGTCTTGGCGTTTCTGGGTTCAGCGTCCGATCTCACCCACTGCATTTTGAATACATAAGCACCGCGGACGTGGCACACGTCCCATGTGTCTATAAGATATACGGAGATTTGTAAACTGAACGGTGAAACGCGATGCCTGCAAGATAGTCCACAAGTCTGGCTTGGTACCTCCTCGATATGAAATCTACCATCTTTGCTTCAGCGATAACACTGGCCTGCTTGATCCACCACCGCTCCCCGGAGTTAGACGCCACCGGTCCGATCCGGGACAGCCTACAACACCACCGCCCCTCCCCCTCCCTCCTGAACTGCATCAGCCTCTGCCCACCTGACTTCACTGCCCCTACTGTCGGCGCACCTCGGGACATGGATGACGCGTGGGGCCGCTCCGCCCGTCGTCGCACGTCTGCCCACACCGCGCGTGACGGAGACCGGACGCCACGGGCGGAACGGCCGACCTCCGGTGGATGGGCCCGTCAGCGGACCGCCGGAGGCAGCTCAGCAGGTCAGCGGGTCAGCAGGTCACCGGCGTCACGTGTTGAGTCGGCCAACCGCCGCCGGTGTCGGCCCTGGTCTCTCACGCGATGCCGGCGGCCGAGCCTTCTCGCCGTTACCGACGCCAAGACTGGGCCTTGTTGAGCGCCGCTGTTACGGCCGCACAACGCAGCGCGGTGGCTCGCCTGAGATACCAACATGCAGTCCGGCAAAAAAACATCCTGGCAAGAAAGGCCCCATTGACCTGTGCATCAGAAGTAAACAAGTGGCCACTTTTTGCGGGGACGGTACAGACTATCGCGTTTTGTCTGTTGGCAACAGATCGGCGGCGCAACCGGTCACTCCCCAGCAAAACACCGGCCTTCGTGCCGCACGCTCACGTGAGGCCCCGGAGGGCTGGCTCCGACGCAGGGCTCCAGCCCGGGCACCCCGGTGACCCGCCCGGCACGGTCGCCGGAAACCCCACCCTCCCGGCCGACGAGCCGCTCTCGCGAACCGCGCCGACGCCCAGGCCTCCATCCCGTCTCCACCCACGGCAGCAGCAGGCGGCGGGAGCGCTGCCTCCAGGCTGGGAGACCCGGCTTTTCATGCAGCCCACAACCCGGCTCCGGCTCCGGCTCCGGCCCCGGCTCCGGCTCCGGCTCCGGCTCCAGCTCCGGCTCCGGCTCCGGCTCCGGCTCCGGCTCCGGCTCCGGCTCCGGCTCCGGCTCCGGCTCCGGTTCTGGCTCCGGCTCCGACTCCGGCTCTGGCTTCGGCCCCGGCATACCGCGATCCCCTGCTCCCGAGTCGCCGCTTCTCGTCTCGTGAATGCCAGCGGCGCAGCCGGGAGACCCCAGCAGCCGCATGGGCTGGGCTCTTCTCCAGCTGACGCCTCCCCAATGCCTCCATCATTGCCGGTAGCCCCGTTAGCCCGCCACCAGCATCGGCCGCCATTCCTGGCAGTCGACCGGACCTGAGAGGCCCGCTGTACACAGCCCACTGCGCCGCGCCGACTCGCCGTGCCGGTCACGTTTTTCATCGGCCGGTATTGGCGCGGGCGGGGGCCGACCGCGGCCTGGAACAGCCGCCACCGGGCCATCATCCGGCGCTTACGGGCGGGCTGCGCCGCCGCGCCAACCGCCAGGGGCCGCGATCGCACCGGCGCCGTAGCGCCGCGGGGCTGCCGACGACGCCCGGCCGTCGACGAAAAACGACCGGAATAACCGTGCCGCGACGTGAATAGTCAGCCGGGCGGCATCGGCGCCGACGTGGAGGTCCGGACCGTCGACGGGCACCGCCAGAAACAGAGATGCGCCGTTCCCGAGCCGCGCCTCTCGTCCTGTGAATGCCACGGGCGCCCGACGCCCCCTCCCCCCCTCCGCCCCCCATCCCGTCTCCAGCTACGGCGAGGTTGGGTCGCTGGGGCGAGCCGGCCAGCGCAGTCCTCGCCCGAGAGCGGCGTCAGCCCCGTCGCGGCCCGCCGCGACACATCAGTCGTCCGGCCGGCGACCGGCTGATCGTACGGACGGCGCGGCATGTCACGCCCAGCTGGCGACGCGCCGGCCGGCCCGACGGCGATCCGTCTCCACCCGTCTCCGTCCTCGGCCCAAACACGTGCCGGCGGCGGCCGGCGTCTGGCCGGCGACCGCTGGGGCCGCGGCGGCCGACCGAAACCACCGGCCAGCTGGCCCTGCCAGGCCCGGCGCGGCCGGAGCCGGGCCTCACGGCCACGCTGCAGTGCCGACGCTCATCGCGCCCGTCCCGTGATGTCCGCTGCAACGATGGAAGTCGGCCCGACGCCGGCGCGATTATCCTGTTAGCGTCCCGCTGCGGAGGCCGCTCGGGGACCCCCGGCCCCGAGGCCGGCCGGCACGGGCCACTGACGCGCCGCTGACGCCGCTGGTGCGCCACGCGACGCAGACCGCAGCCAATCTGAAGATCCAGCGTGATTTGATCAGTTCACCAATCCGCAGCGCTTGCCGAAATTGCCGGCGGCGTGGCTCGTTACCGCCCCGTCCCGGAAGACGCGCCGAGGGGCCGTCGGCGGCGCGGTGTCGAGCAAGGCCGGTCTGTCAGCGTCCACAGGCTTGGCACCCGCCCACCGCTGTCCGCTCCCGCATTCCTGCCGTGCATCCCGGGCCGACAGAGCGGCCATCGTGCTGGGTCTCAGCGCGGCGCCGTCGCCGGTGCATGACTGGCCCCGTCGTCCCATCTGACTTCGCCATGAACCAGGGCACCGGCGCGTGGGATGGAAGCTGGGAAACCACGCGGCGTGGAAATCCCGTACGAATGCTTTCGAAGCACATTCCACTGACCGTTGACACAACAGTTTAAACCTGGCACGACACCAGCGCCGCCAGTCCAATCTGGTCTTCAAAACGCGCCGTAAATTATCCACGCCAGCGGCCCCTCTATACACACACGGCTCCACATGAGTGCCGTCACTCCCTCCACACCCCTCCGATTCCTAGACGTCCGTTCCGCACACATTAGCCCACGAGTCCACGAGAAGAACTGTTGTGCAGACAGTCATCGCCGGCGCCAGACGAGGCCCCCGAGGCGGACACACGCCTGGTGAGCAACGTCCGAATACCATGCGGTCTGTGCATGCTTGCAAGGGGGTTACCGTGGCGACTGTGCCCTGTCACGCCGGAGACGAGCCAGCGACGGACGCGCTGTTTGGATCCGGCCCGGTCGCGCGGTCAGTGGAGCAACACACGGCTCGTGATCACGCCCCGGCCACTGGCGCGTCGTTCAGGGACGGCCCAGCTGCTCGGCGCCGGTCCAGAGATCACTTCAGCCAGCCGCAGCCGTCGACCGCGCCGTACTCCGGCGCAGCCCGGCTGGGCAGAGCGTTCAGCCGCGACGCCGAGGCTCTCTGGGAGCAGCCGCCGACGGCAGCTCGCCCCCGGCCCGCCGTCTGCTGAAGGCGGCCGCCCCGGCGGCGGACTGTCACACCGGCCGACCGCCGGATCGGGTCACGCCAGGTCATGGCGGGGGCGACCCGCTGCCACGGCAGGCGGCTCCCTGTCCGTCTCCCTGCGGCTCTCCCGGCCGGCGCACGGCGGCGCTCACGCGCGGCAGGTGACGAGCTGAGACCGTCCAGCGCCGTGACCAGATCTGGCACCGCTGTCACCCCGCCACCGCCGCCTCGTCATCCTCTCCCGTGACCGTCGCGCACACTGACTCTGCTGCAGCCCGCCCCCGACTGGCAAAGGAAGGGGACGGCGGCGGCCGCCAGGCACCCCGCAAGGCACTCAGTCGGGCACTCACCTCTACAGGCATTCGGGCGGGCACTCACCTCATACCGCTCAACGGCGCCATGAAACGCGTCCTTGTCGATGGTGTGCACGAAGAGGCGGCCGGCACGCGCTGTGGCGTCCGACACGCCCCACATGCGCTTCAGCTGGTCGTCGGGCAGCGGCTCGGAGCGCGCGCTGAAGCCCAGATCATCGGTGCCGTCCGTGTGCACCTCCTCGCTGAGCGGGCGCACGTCAAGCACGCGCTGCTGGTGCGGCCGCTCGGCAGCGGTCAGGCACAGCACGGCCAGCGGGCACAGCAGGCGCGGTAGCAGCATGACGGGCCGGTCCCAGGCACCGGCGGCGGCCTGCGGCAGACGCACAGCCGTCACGCACAGCACACACGACACACAGCAGGCACACACTCTAACACACACAGAGCGGTGATAGGACAGCATGCACCACCCAGCGGTGTTCAGTCGCAGTCGCAGCGCAGTTGATACCGGACCAGTCGCACAGTCCCGGTTACACGGCGGTCCCAGCGCGGCCGACGCCGGCGCTCTCAGCTCCCTGCCGCGGTTGCCGTTAACGGCTCCCTGTAAATTCGCCAGCTGGTCCCGTGCAAATGTCATGACCCCCGGGAGAGCCGGATCGATGCGCAGGGCCCGACCGCTCGGCGTCCGCACCGCGCTGCAGGCCAACACGTGTTCTGAATCACCGGAGACCACAGGCGACCGTGGTTTCCTTCGGCCAGTGCAGTGCCGACCAAGTAGGCTCCGGTGTCAGTCTGATAAGTTGACGAGGAACCGATGCTGCCTTTGCATCTCCCACAAAGTACGTCGCAGTTCTCCACAAGACGTGATTCACACGACTATCACAGCGCTGATAACTGTCATAAATCAACATGTGCACCGATAAAAGCGAGCAATCGGCGTCTCCTGTAGCTCGGGGACCTTTGACACACGTGCCACAGTCAACAACGGCCCAAAACCACTGCCTGTGCTCGGTCTGCCCGTGTCGGCACGCGAAATGTCAGCAGCCAGTTACTGCAGGAGCCAGGCCCTGTCCAACTGGCACGCGCCACCACCGTCAGCAGCCAGTCACTGCAGGAGCCAGGCCCTGTCCAACTGGCGCGCGCCACTGCCGTCAGCAGCCAGTCACTGCAGCAGCCAGGCCCTGTCCAACAGGTGCGCGTCACTACCGTCAGCAGCCAGTCACTGCAGGAGCCAGGCCCTGTCCAACTGGCGCGCGCCACTACCGTCAGCAGCCCGTCACTGCAGCAGCCAGGCCCTGTCCAACAGGCGCGCGTCACCACCGTCAGCATGCGGTCCCGGCCGGAGCAGGCCGCGTCAGCCATCGGCGATGGCCGAGGACGGTCCGCACCGCGCCAACGAGGCTGAGGATCCTGCGCACGTTTATCAATCCTTCGCACGTTTAGCGTTAGTCCCAGGGCGACAAATGACGCATCTCCGACCCCACGAGGCCCCAGAGGTCAGGAGCTCTGGTCTGTGGGGAGATCTCCGACGCCGCGGGGTCGGGACGTCGGCCGGTGCCCGCCGGGCCGGCCGGATGCGGGGTCGGAGAGGCGGAGATCCCGTGGGGCCAGGCCCGGCTGCCGGCCGGGGCGCCCCGCACACAGCACAGGAAGTGACGGGTTTCCGGCGGCGGCGCCGGTACCGAGCGGCGCCCCGGCCATGGTCGTGGCGGGCGGCGGGGCGTCGGCGGCACCCGTCATCGGACGTCACTGCCGCCCCGCCTGGACCCGGCATCACATCGCCCGCCGGCGGCCCGCTGCTTCTCGCGCTCCGCGACGCAGCACGCTCGTCCGCGCGCGGTTCACCTCCGACCGGTCTTCCCCGCGGCGTCGCGTTCGAGAGAGCACCGCGGTCACCTGCAGGCAGTCCTCCTCGGCCGGAGCCGGCGCCGCGGGGTCGAGACAACCGGGAGCCGGTGACGTCACAGCAGCCGGAGCTTGGCTCGGCGCATCCCGTGGCGGGCCGGTCGTTTAAATCCGGCACGGATCGCTCGGTAAACACACAGACGGCCCCAACGTCTTCCGCTGGCGGGCGGAGGCGGCAGTCTGCACGGGGGCAGAGAAGGCGGACGACGGGTCTCGAGTCGGGCCGACCGCTCACACGACGTGAATAAACTGGGGTTTTAATATACACTAGGATTTTGTGTGACATTTCCGTCTTAGAAAGCACCTGACAAGATTGTGGATGAATGTGTACAAATGAGAAAAGTGTCCACGGAAATAATTAATCGCTGCACAAATGTATAAATGACAGTGAAGGAGAGCGACACGGACAGATCCGTCTCTCCAAGCCACTTGTTCTGTTGCGGAAAAGCCGGCGGCCGTAGACTGCAATCTACCGTGACCTTGCCACATCATGACGCCATTCACACCACCACTCAGTAAACGGCTATGCCATATCTCTTGGCACCCCATGGCCCACATGCCGCGCGGCGAAGTTCTTTTACAAGAGCAAAAACACGGCCGCGACAAGTCCGGTTCGTGGCGTGGCCTTTTTCTCCTGTATGCTTTAGTTGAAACGTATGAAAACAAAATACTCCGACCACCCAGCATTCGTATCTCGAGACCAGCCCCGTGACTCCAGAATGTTTTCCTTGACAAACAAAAGAACGAATCGCATGCCTAGACGATAGCGCGATCGCATGGGGTACGGGTCATTTTTCAGAACACGCCGCTAGTTTAAATCAGGCAAATGTTGATGTGCAAGGCTAGCATTGCATTCACGGGAAAATCGTCCCTTCAGTGTAGATTTCCTTGGATCGAAACAAACAGAACCCGACCGATATGTCTATGCTCCGGTAACATGCGACGCAACGGCAACAAAAGCTACGTGCGTTGTCGATATCGCCAAAGCCGGCGCGGTCCACGTGACTTATGAGAAGGTTCGTTGAGACGCAACTCACTGGACCTTGACTCAATCACTTTTGAAAGGCCGGCGCGAATGAATAAACTCAGCGCCATTACGGCGAAGACCCTGGCGCAAACCCTCCACGTGACCTTTGACGTCCATGACTGCAATCGATTACTCCAGACTGTGCGGCGCGTGGACTTGATCCAGCGGATGTTGAGCAAACTGGTCCCTTGAGCAGCATCTAAGGTCAAACACGATGACCACCACACCGTTACACGGAGAGCATCTTACACACCCGTCCTCTCCACATGCAGAAACCGCGAAAGGGAGGACCCAGCCGGAACAGCATGCGTGTCCGATGGAAGCCTGGACAAGGCCCAGCCGGTGAACGCACGCGCGCCCGCTGGAGGTCTGGACGGGACGCAGCCACGGCGTCTCCGGCCAAGACAGGATTCCCCGGGACCGTTGGACACTGCACCCGCGCCGATAGCTGTGCCGTGCCGTGCCTTGTCGTGCCGTGGGCGGTGTCAGTGCCGCCATCCTCCGTCCGTCCCGTTGGCACGTGTGCTATTGATCGGGCCGTCAGTCTCTGACCGGCCGCTGGCTGGCCGGCCGGCGCCGGGCACGGCCGGCCCCAGGTGAGGTGGCCGAGGTCGGAGCTACCTGATCAGGCAGGTCAGCTGACCCCGGACCGGTCTCCGCCTGAGATCAGCAGCATCGGGCCGAACCCCGGGCGAGCCCTCCGGCATTAAGCCGAACCCCGAACGAGCCCTGCAGGCGTCGGGGCGAACCCCGGACGAGTCCTGTGGCGTCGGGGCGAACCCCGAACGAGCCCTGCAGGCGTCGGGGCGAACCCCGGACGAGTCCTGTGGCGTCGGGACGAACCCCGGACGAGTCCCGCATGCGTCGGGCCGAACCATCGGACGAGTCCTGCGGCATCGGGTCGTACACCAGGCGATCCGAGCTCGCAGCGGTACCGCCACGCAGACGTGCCGTACCCGCAGACGGGCTCCAGACCGCACCTCACGCGATCGCCGCCAGATGGCCGTCGGTGCGTCGCCGTCCGGCGCCGTTCCCGCAGAGACCGTCCCCGTGACCTGGCCGAGGGACCACGGAGCTCACAGGATATCGGCCGGTCCGTAATGAGATGCGGCGCGCCCCGACATCGCCGTCAGAGGAGACCGGCTGCGCCATCGAACGACGGGGCGAGTACCTACCGAGCAGGCGAGTCGATAGCACGGCGGTCCCAGCGCCGGTGGAGGCCTGACGTCGCCGTCAAGGACCACACCGTCCGCGGCGGCGGCGAGGCGCGGAGTGTGCCCCGCACGAGCCGGGCGGCTCGGCGCCCGCCCCCGCGCGTCACCTGTCCCCGCCGGCGCCCACAGCGTCCCAGCCGGAGGTCGGAGGCATCAGAACGGCCGCTCAGCTGATCAACCGCCCGAGACGGCGGCGTCGCCACAACAGCAACAGACGGTGTCCGGGCCACGCTGCTCGGGGCGACGCGCCAGCGCCGCCCGCGGACGACGCCAGGCACGCCCCCAAAGCCGGGCTCACGGCCACCGCCAGGCCACGAGGGGGCGGGACACGGAGCTCAGGGAGTCAGGGTGAGGGCTCCCTAGCACTTTAGTTCTGATGAGCGGCGAACCGGCTTGAACTGACGGGAATGTAGCCGGTTACATTGACAACCAAAAATTACATTCCCAGGACTATTTCAAACCTCACGGAACAAAGCGCTCGAAAGAAGATGCCACCAAATACCAAACTCCAGTTCCACGGCAAAGGTCAACACTCGCAGCACCCGAAACGTCTGGTTGGTGGATCCCGACCTGTACAGGTCGGAGTCACGCGGCGTCAGTGGTCGATGGGGCAGCAGCCCGGCCAGGGTCACGCGGCGCCCTGAGCCGGTAGGGGGCGGCCGGGCCAACACCAACAGCCGCCGCGGCCGGCCGGCGCCCGGACTGTGGGCCGCCACTGCGGGCCACCGACATATAAACGGAGCGTCGCCGGCGCCGCCCGCAATTAGCCGAGAGACGCGACGCCTGTGATGGCCGGGCCAGCGGACGGGGAGCCGACACCGGCAGTGACAGACAGACAGACAGAGGCGCCGAAAGGCGGGCAGACACAAACCGGACAGCCAGCTACAGACACGAGCCGGCGGACGGGGAGCCGACAGGCAGGCTGACACCGGCGGCGACAGACGGACAGACAGAGGCGCCGAAAGGCGGACACGCACAAACCGGACAGCCGGCTACAGACACGAGCCGGCGGACGGGGACCCGACAGGCAGGCGACACCGGCGGAGACAGACGGACCGACCAAAAGCGCCGAAAGGCGGACAGGCACAAACCGGACAGCCAGCTACAGACACGAGCCGGCGGACGGGGACCCGGCAGGCAGGCTGACACCGCGGCGACAGACGGACAGACAGAGGCGCCGAAAGGCGGACAGGCACAAACCGGACAGCCGGCTAAAGACACGAGCCGACGGACGGGGAGCCGACAGGCAGGCTGACAAAACCGGCGGCGACAGACGGACAGACCGAAACGCAGAGAGGCGGACAGGCACAAACCGGACAGCCGGCTAAAGACACGAGCCGACGGACGGGGAGCCGACAGGCAGGCTGACACCGGCGGCGACAGACGGACAGACCGAAACGCAGAGAGGCGGACAGGCACAAACCGGACAGCCGGCTAAAGACACGAGCCGGTGTGCAGACAGACATACGGAAACAGACATGAAGGTACGCACAGGCACAAAAGCCGTCCAGATTCACCAGAGATAACCGGAACTGACGTCACATTGCCTCGTCCGTCAGGCCACCATCCGCGACCACCGACCAATCACGTCACCAAGAGACGTCCTGGAACTTGACGTCACAAGCCTTCGTCCGGTCAGGTCACCCACCCGCAACCTCAACCACCCCACGTCATTACAGCCGCCAGAATCTGACGTCACACACTGCCTCAGTCCATCAGGCCACCACTCCGCAACCACCGACCCATCACGCCACCCACAAGCCAGTCCAGAACTGACGCCACAGGCCTCGTCGGTTACACCTATCATTCGCGGCCTCCGACCAATCACGTCGCCATGCCCTTGCGGAGGCTGACGTTACGGGCCTCCTCCGTCAGTTATTTGCGTATAATCCAGGAAGTGCCAACCTGTCGTCCTAGTACAGCTTATTCGTCTCCGGCGACTTAAAAATAATGTTTGATATCCATTTATACTGACTGTTGGACGCGGGGGGTTTTTTGGCGGCGGGGGGGGGGGGGGGCGGTTTCACCCTGCGTGACCGCTGGGAAGAATTGCCAGTTGTTTGTGTTTTGTCCGAACTTTTCCTACTATGCGCTTACTGCGTCTGCGTGGTCAACGTTAACCGTGTCAGCTACGTTGTGCCAAACGTTGTCCCTGGCCGCCGGCCGGATTTAGCCGAATGACATGACGTCTGGGGTACCGGGTCAGGCGGACGAGGCCGAGAGGAAGGCGGAGAGACCGAGAGGCGGGCGGACGAGGCCCGAGAGGCAGGCGGATGAGGCCCACAGCCAGGCGGACGAGGACCAACAGGCAGGTGGACGAGGGCCAACAGGCAGGCGGACGATGCAAACAGGCAGGCGGACGAGGCCAACCGGCAGGCGGACGAGGCCGAGGGGCACAGGGCGGACGAGGCCCAACAGGCCAGGCGGACGAGGGCCCGACAGGACAGGCGGATGAGACCGGGAGGCAGGCGGGAGGAGACCGGGAGGCAGGGCGGAAGACGACGAGGCCGACGCGCAAAGGCAGACATGCAGACAGGCAGTCATACAAACAGGCGGAAATGCGGACAGAGACGGAAGGACGGACACGAACAACTAGTCCTCGTAATCTGCAACAGGCCCTGGCCTCAGCAGCCGCTGGCATGGGGACTACTGCAGCTGGAGTGGCAAATGACCAACACGAAGATCGCCGATAAAGCCATGAAACAGACCAGCAACGACTCGCACGACAAGGCTGTCGTCATTGAACCCAGTCGTTTTCCGGGTCACGATCCCATTCCCGCAGCAGCCGTTCGAGCCGGACACGTGACTGGCCGAACGATGGCGCCTCGCCGAGCCCCGGCCCCGGCCCCGGTCTGGCCCCGGCCCTGGTCCTAGTCCCGGCCCGGCCCGGCCCCGGCCCCGGCCCCGGCCCCGGCCCCGGCCCCGGCCCCGGCCCCGGCCCGGCCCCGGCCCCGGCCTCGGCCACGGTCCGAGCCCACCGGGTCCACCGTTGCTGCCGTCGTCCGTCCGCACGCCCACTAATTACGCCAACTGACAAACACGCCGGCGCCAATTTCATGCCGGATGCCTCTGACGAGCATCCGTCTCCCGGCCAGATTTAGCTGCAG